TAATCCGAGTAAATTATAATCGAATGCTATACGCTAATAAAGTAGTATTGCTACTTTTCGAAAGTTTTTACTATTGCTATAAGCTTCTGATCAGGAATTCTGTAATTGATTTCTAAGCTATTCAACTTCTTTGAAAAGTTGCTTATAATCCTTAGATATTCTTGGTTATCTTGCTAGCTAAGTTGTTCTCCAAGTGTATATTCCAATATATTAATCTTAATTTCAAAGGATTTGTAGAAATCTGCTTCATACAGAACTAGCTCTGAGATAATATATTTGATGATCTCATCAAAAGCTCTCTATGCCTTGAGGATCTATTCAAAAGGCTATTTCTTCTTAGTAAGATTTGTAAGAGAGTATGCAATCCAGCTGTAGTTCTTAATAAACTGCTTGTAGAAGTTGATATATCTGAGGAAAAATCTAACATTCCTAACATTTCTAGGAACTGGCTAATTCCTAACAGCTTCTATCTTGTCTTTCTGTAGCTTAATGCATTCTAGCTTGATTGTAAATCCGAGATAATCAACCTTTTATATATGAAAGTGGCTCTTTGCAGGTTTCATAAGAAGTTTTGCATCTTGAAGCATTTGCAATACTATTTCCACATATTTTTTGTATTCTTCCAATATTCGAAAGAAAATAAGGATATTATTGAGATAAGCAATAATGAACTGATTCAGATACTCGCATAGAACGTAATTAATCATTTCCTGAAATAAAGCTAAGGCATTCGTTAAACCAAAGAGTATAACCAAATATTCGTAGTATTTATAGCATATCCTGAAAGCAGTTTTCCATTCTTCTTCTTCTTTTACTCTAATCAGATTGTAAGCTTCTTTCAGATCTAGAACTGTAAACTATTATACTTCTTGCAATCTATCTTGTAATTTCTTAATAAGTAGCAATGGATATCAGTTCTTGATTGTAATATTATTGAGTTATCTATAATTAATATATAGCTTAAGCTTGCTATTTTTCTTAGATACAAACAGAATAGGATATTCTGCTGATAATTGTAATAATTGTATATATTTTTTCTTAAGATTCTCATTGAGATACTTCCTAAGTGCTTCTAGCTGTATCTTATCTAGTTCATAGATAAGAAAGAATTTGAGCTATTTCTCTTCTTGTAGCAGAATCTTGTAGTTGTATAAGCTGTATTCTAGCAATTCTATATTCAATTCTTTCTGGAATAGTTTCTTAAACTTATAATATTCTTATAATATGTTCGCAAGTATTAATTCTGATTCTTATACTATTTCTGCTATCTGGAGGAATAGTAGGTACTATTGAGCATGCTTCTTTTCATTCATTGTTTTTAGTAACGTTTTTGAAAGCTTTAAGCATTTGCTCCGGATCAGACTGAGCGCTCGAGAGCCTGGTTTCGAGATTTTTCTTGTATAGTTTTACAATTCATATTCTAAAGCTTTTCCTTATTGCTCTAAAGCGAACCAACTTGCTAAGAGTCTTGCTTTCATTATTTTGCTAATCTATTAGCGCTCTAGCACTATTTGAGTTCGCTTATTACTAGATTCTTCTTCTTGAACTGCTAGCTCTGCTAGTTTGAAAGTATGTATAAAATCGTCTGAAGCTTCTTTTTCTGAGTATTCTTTAATAACTAGCTTCGATTCTGCGTTATTGATTGCAACTATCTTCTTGAGTATAGCTTGTTCTTATAAGATCTGGCTAGTAGTTCAATCAATTCGAGAATTATGCTTTTTAAGCTATGAAAGCTTCATAATCAGCTCATGCTATGCTATATTCATAATATCAAAGGAAGCTTTAGTTATGCATTCTTGAATTAAAATAGATAAATAATTAGTTTTCTTATTAATTACTTCTTGATTATATGCAACAGATTGTTCTTTTATAATACTGAGAGTATATGAGCATCTTTTTTATCTCTATTGTAATTGTATCTGATTGATGATATATAGGGATATAAAGTTTCTCTAAGCGCTACTGTTTAATAGTATGCTATACTTGTATTCTTGAATATATATATTGAACTTAATATAAGCATAATTTGTTCTAGAAGCTTTATATAAAAACTATTCTAATCTAATCATCTGCAATCTCTTTATAAGCAATTCTATTCTTTTAAGTTTATCAGAAACTATTTATTCTTCTAAGCTTGCTTTGCTGCTTCTTAAGCAAGCTTTTTAGCTTGCTTCTGCTTATATTATTATTATTTCTAATCTTTCTTCTATTAATGCTAATTGCAAATTTTGTTATTAATATGAATCATACAGAGTATTGTTTTGTACTACTATCATTTTATTTTCTTATTTATATATTGTATAAAGCAGTTATTTAGTAGCTTGATGTATGCATTGTAGTATTGCTTATTGAAAATCTTTCTGAAGCAGAGTTCCTATTCTTCAACAGCTTAAAGGATTTGTTCTGATTCTCTAATAGAGAATTATTCGTATTGCATCTTATCTGAGAAATGTATTCTGTAGCTATAATAAATGCAGGAGATTTAAGCTAATTCATGATATAGATTGTAAAGTGAACTAACTTGAGAATTCTTATTTTCTTGTATCTTAATATTCTGCAAGAGAATGCAGATAAAGAGCTTCTCTAACTCTATTCTATAGATAAGATATTCAATTTATATTGTTTCCTTGTTTTATCTAATACTAAAGAGAAATCTTTCTATAAGTTTCTTGGATTTATTATTCATAAGAAACTCTGATGAACTATTGAATCGCTTATTTTAGCTTGATCTTTCTATTGTTTGAGAAGTATTCTTAGTATTATTTAGGTATTTATATTAATAATTAAGAGAGTATCATCTTTTATTCATTTCTCTGATTATGGTATCTGGTATAAGTAATAAGGAATAGCGAAGAGCATTGTTATTAAGCTCTTTTTTCAGCATCTGAATGCTTCGTTCAGTGATATTGAAATAGTTTGAGTTGTTGCTACTTGTAGTTGTGCTGAGCGTATATCCTTGCTCTGCTGTTGCTATCTGCTTGTAGCGCCTAGGTTTCTGAGAGAACTATTCTAAATCTTTCTTACTCGAGAGATATATTAAGCAGTTATTGTTATAGCAGAATGTTCAACTGAGACTTCCGTAATCAATAGAGTTCGATATTTGCTCTGAGGGAGTATTTTTGCTCAGTTAATTGAGTTTCTGTTGCTAAGCAATATTCATCTAGCATTCTTTCTGAACTGATTGCTATTTATTCTTTCGGGATTGATAGCAGTTGCATGCAATGTATTCTTATTTGTTGCAGTTATAGCAAGTAATGCTATTCTTCTTGCTATACTGCTTATTAGCTGCATTAAGTTCTATAGAACTAGCATGTATAGTGCTGCTTTGAGCTATACTGCTATATTGACTGCTATTCTTGTTTTGAAGTTTCTTATTTATATTAGCTAGAAATCTCTAAATCTGATTTTCTTTCTTCTTGAACTTCTTTATCTATTATTCATACAGATAATTGTTAATGCAGATAGCTTGATTAGAGAATATCGCAAAGTTCTCCAGCTAATTCTGCTTAGAGATTTCATCTTTAATGTTATTCTTAAGTTCCTTGTAATAGTATTTCATAAGATTTTTATCTTCCTATGGAAATTATACTGAAAGTTGCTTGAATCTGATTGTATAAGCAGAAGCTGATTTGATCTGCTTGAGATTCATAAGCTGCTAAGCTGTAGTGCATTCTTCGTTAGGATTACCAAAGATGTAATGAGCACTGCAGCAATCCGAAGATTCCTAAGTATATGAAGAGGTTTATGCTAACAAGAGCGGTATTAAAATATTAAGTCCTTGAATACGGAATCATACAAGTTTTAGTAAGCAATGCAAGTATTCACTGCCTTTGAAGCTACTCAATATATGAAACTGAATACTTAGATTAACAACTGAAGAGCTATATACGAGATCTATCTAATGAAAATGAACATATCCTTATATATTCAGCTCTTCAGTTCTGTTAGTAATATTGATTATTGGATCTCTTGGATTACCTAAGTAATCCAACTAATCCGGATTACTATAAATCAGCTACTAATCCATCCTGATCCTATAATCCTAATCCTTGCTTATGTAAGCCTTAGTCCTTGAGATATTGAATCCTTTCCTATCTTTCCGAATAGTTATTCCGAGTATTCTAGCTAGTGATTTGCATATTGAATAAGTTATAACATCATTTCTCTTCTATTGATTATTGTTTCTAACGATCTTTCGTAAGTATTCTAGCAAGTTATTTGCATGCATAATTATGCTTTCCTAATCGAGATATTAAACAGAATCAACAAATTGCATTCTAGCTATTCAGTGAAAACTTCAGAGCATTATCATCTTGCTAAGCTTATTTCTGCTTTTGGTATTGAAATGCCTGCTTATGCTTATTGTTGGGAGATGAGAGCTTTCTGTTGTTTCGCTGAAAACTCTTCTCGTTATAAGAAGTGTATTTCTCTGAATCAAAGCTGTAATACTGGTTGTTTTTCAGCTTCTGCTAATTAGTTTCTTTATTCCTTAGTATTCTTCGTAATTACTGATTTTCTTCTTTAGCAGAGCGTTTGATTCATGAAAAGTGCAAGATTTTAAGCAAGGAAGCTGAAGCAGAGTTAGCAAACGCTGCTGCTCTACAAGCCTTGCTAGCATTGCAAGCTCATCTTGATTGTATACGGAAACAGCGAAAGCTATTGGAGAAACATGCTGCAGAAATGATTCGTTATAGCTTCAATTCCTTGAAGAGATTTGCAGATGAGAAGGATTGCAGTCTTTGTAAAGAGGAGATCTGCCTGATGTTTCAGGAATATCTTGAGATTATCGACTGGAGTTCCTTGGATTTAGGAGGTTCTGTGGTAGATTGGTTGGGCTTTCTGGAGAGTGAGGTTTCTGAGGCTTCGGGGTCTTGGTTCGGAGCGGAGCGATTGTCTTAGATACTGGTTTCCTTTCTTTTCCAATACTCAGCTACTTTTTCTTGAGCATTCTCAATATTCTCTTATGATTTCCATGAATTTTCACTTGCTGAGTAATCTTTTCACTTGATAAGATATTCCCTTGTGCTATCTATGCTTCTATACTTGAGAATCTTTTCTATCTTATACTCTGATTCATTGTTTTCTACTTCTGCTGTATTATCTGCTAATATTTCCTGTGCTACTGATTTCAGCAGTAAGATATGAAAAACTGAGTATATTCTCATCTTATAAGATAATACTAGCTTATAATTAACTGGGAAAATCTGTTGCAAGATTTTGAATGGTTCCAACTTCTTATAATCGAGTTTGTTGCTGAGCTTGATTGTTTTAATGTTTTTTCGAAATAGATAAGCTTTATCTCCCTTTTGTAGGATTGGTCTCTCAATTCTCTTGGAGTTTGTATAATGTGCTATTTATTCCTGAATGAATTATAATTCTGACTGGAGTTCTTTCTGAACTTTCTTGATCTTCTTAATCCTTTTATCTGCAGCTTCTGCATCTGCTTTTAGCAGTACTTTATAGTAAGCTATTGGATTGTATTTATAGAGTATGAAGAATAATAACTTCTTTATTATGCTTATATCTGCGCTATTATAAGTAAACTGTATAAGGAGCAACAGATTAATTCAGTTATTCTATTTCTAGTTGATATAGTATTGAAAATACTATTCAATAATCTGATTTATTCTTTCTATCTATTTATCTATTTGTAAGTGAAATGCTGTAAACATTCTATAATGTATTCCGAGCTGTTTTATAAGCAAAGTTCAAAACTTTGAGTTGAACTTTCTATTTCTATTAGAAATTACTTTCTCTAGTATGCTATAGTTAGCAATAATCGTTCTAAGAAATGCATATACGAATTCCTCTGCTATACTGCTTTCCTTATAGAAGAGAAAATAAGCATATTTGCTTAGTTTACAAATTACTACTAGAATGCTATTATATTATATCTTAGTTAAGAATTCTTATAAGAAAGATAGCTTAATAATAAAGTTTAGACTAATAGATTGCTAAATAGTTGTAAGTACTGATAAGGAATACAATAGTTCATAAGGCTTATATCTTTCTGCTTTATTCTTCTTGCAGCTATTGCATTATTATAAAATATTTTCAATTCTTTTCCTAAGGCTTAATAAATTCCAGTATTTTTTAATGCATTCATAGATTGCTCTAATTCTCTGATATCTATATGCTGATGCACTATATATATTCTTAATGTAATTATCTTATTCATCTGGAATTATTAATTCTGAATTCCTTTCTAAGGATTCAATTCTGAGAGCAGTATTCAGTTCTTTATATGCATTAATAAGATTTTCTAACTTATCTTAAGCAAAGATATTCTGTATATCCGAAGAGTCTGCATCTTAATAATCTAATCTTCTATTAAAAGCATCTGCTTATTCATTCTCCAAGCTTTTGCAGTATACAATCTTGAAGTTGAACTGTAAAAGGAATTCTGCTTATCTAACTTATTGCTTATTCAAAATCTTGATTGTTATGAATGTAATCAGATTCTTATAATCTGAATGAATTATAATTGAGTATTATATGCTAATGAAATAGTATTGCTACTTCTCGAAAGCTTTTACTATTGCTATGAGTTTCTAATCAGGAATTCTATAGTTGATTTCTAAGCTATTCAACTTCTTTGAAAAATTGCTTATAATTCTTAAATATTCTTAGTTATTTTGCTAGCTAAGTTATTCTCTGAATATATATTCTGATGCATTAGTTTTAATTTCAAAGGGTTTGTAGAGATTTGCTTTATACAGAACTGGTTCTGAAGTAATATGCTTGATGATTTCATCGAAGGCTTCTTGTGCCTTGGAAATTCATTCGAAAGGCTATTCTTTTTTAATGAGATTTGTAAGAAAGTATGCAATCCAGCTATAGTTCTTAATAAACTGCTTGTAAAAGTTGATATATTCAAAGAAAGATCTAATATCTCTAATATTCCTAGGAATTAGCTAGTTTCTAACAGCTTTTATCTTATTCTTCTGTAGCTTAATGCATCCTAGCTCGATTGTGAATTCGAGGTAATTAACTTTTTGTATATGAAAGTAGCTCTTTGCAAGTTTCACAAGAAGCTTCACATTCTAAAGCATTTGTAATACTATTTCCATATATTTCTTATATTCTTCTAATGTTTAAGAGTAAATAAAAATGTTATTAAGATAAGCAATAATGAACTAATTCAGATGCTTGTATAGAATATGATTGATTATTTCCTAGAATAAAGCTGGAGTATTCATTAAACCAAAGAGTATAATCAAATATTCATAGTATTTATAGCATATTCTGAAAGCAGTTTTCCATTCTTCTTCTTTCTTTACTCTGATTAGATTATAAGCTTCTTTTAGATTTAGAATTGTAAATCATTATACTTCTTGCAATCTATTTCGTAGTTCCTTAATAAGTAGCAACAGATATCAGTTTTTAATTGTAATATTATTGAATTGCTTATAGTTAATGCATAGCTTGAGCTTACTATTTTTTTTGAATATAAATAGAATAGAGTATTCTGCTAGTAATTATAATAATTATATATATCTCTTCTTAAGATTCTTATTGAGATATTTCTTAAGTGCTTTTAGTTATACTTTGTCTAATTCATAGATAGGAAAGAACTTGGGCTATTTTCCTTTTTGTAGCAGGATTTCATAGTTGTATGAGCTGTATTCTGGCAATCTTGTATTCAATTCTTCTTGGAATAGTTTCTTGAACTTATAATATTCTTATAATATATTCGCAAGTATTAGTTCTGATTCTTGTACTGTTTCTGCTATTTGAAGAAACAGTAGGTACTGCTAAGCATGCTTCTTTTCATTCGTTGTTTTTAGTAATATTTTTGAGAGCTTTGAGCATTTGCTTCAGGCTGGATTGAGCGCTTGAAAGCCTAGTTTCGAAGTTTTTCCTGTATGAATCTACAATTCACTTTCTAAAGCTTTTCCTTATCGCTCCAAAGCGAACTAACTTGCTAAGAATCTTGCTTCTGTTATTTTGCTAACTTATTAGCATTCTAGCACTATTTGAGTTTGCTTATCACTAGATTCTTCTTCTTGAGCTATTAGCTCTGCTAACTTGAAAGTATGTATAAAGTTATATAAAGCTTCTCTTTCTAAGTATTCTTCAATTACTAGCTTCGATCTTGCACTATTGATTGTAACTATTTCTCTGGATACAGCTTGTTCTTATGAAAGCTAGCTAGTAGTTCAATCGATTCAAGAATTATACTTCTTGAGCTATAAAAGCTCTATAATCAGCTTATGCTATACTATATCCATAATATCAAAGGAAGCTCTGATTATATATTCTTGAATCAAAATAGATAGATAATTAGTCTTCTTATCAATTACTTCTTAGTTATATGCAATAGATTATTCTTTTATAGTGCTGAGAATATATAAGCATTTCTTTCATCTTTATTGTAATTATATCTGATTAATGATATATGAGAATATAAAGTTTCTCTGAGCATTACTATTCAATAGTGCGCTATACTTATATTCTTGAATATATATATTGAACTTGATATAAGCATAATCTATTCTAAAAGCTTCATATAGAAACTGTTTCAGTCTGATTATCTGCAGTTCCTTTACAAGCAATTCTATTCTTTTAAATCTATTGAGAACTGCTTATTCTTTTAAGCTTGCTTCACTGCTTCTTAAGCAAGCTTCTTAGCTTGCTTTTGCTTGTATTATTATTATTTCTAATCTTTCTTCTATTAATGCTAATTGCAAATCTTATTATTGATATGAATCGTACAGAGTATCGTCTTGCACTGTTATCATTTTATCTTCTTATTTATATATTGTATGAAATAGTTATCTGATAGCTCAATATATGTATTGTAATGCTATTTATTAAGAACTTCTCTAAAGCAAAGTTTCTTTTCTTCAATAGCTTAAAGGATTTGTTCTAATTCTTTAATGGAAAACTATTTGTATTATATCTTGTTTAAGAAATGCATTCTGCAGCTATAATAGATACAGAAGATTTAAGCTAATTCGTAATATAGATTGTAAAGTAAGCTAATTCGAGAATTCTTATCTTCTTGTATCTTAATGTTTTGCAAGGAGATGCAGATGAAGAGCTCTTCCAGCTCTATTCTGTAAATAAGATATTCGATTTATATTGTTTTCTTATTTTATCTAATGCTGAAGAGAAATCTTTCTTTAAGCTTATTAAGTATGTTGTTTGCAGAGAGCTTCTGCAAGCTGCTAGATTGTTTGTTCTAGCTTAATCCTTCTGTTGCTTAAGAAGCATTCTCTATATTGCTTAGATATTCATATCAGTAGCTAAGAAGGTATTATCTCTTATTCATATTCCTGATTATAGTGCTTAATATAAGCAATAAAGAATATTAAAGGATATTGTTGCTAAGCTCTTCTTTCAATGCTTGAATGCTCTGTTCCATGATATTAGAGCAGTCCGAGTTGCTACTTGTAGAAATGCTGAGCGTGCATTCTTGTTCTGCTGTTGCTATTTGTTTGCAGCGCTTAGGTTTCTGAGGGAACTATTCTGAGCTTTCCTTACTTGAGAGATATATTAAGCAGTTATCATTATAGCAGAATGTTCAGCTGAAACTTCTGTAATCAATAGAGTTCAATACTTGCTCTGAGAGAGTGTTGCTCAGTTGATTGGATTTCTATTGTTGAGCAATATTTATCTAGCATTCTTTCTGAATTAGTTGCTATTTGTTCTTCCGGAATTAATAGCAGTTGTATGCAATATATTCTTGTTTGTTGCAGTTGTAGCAAGTAATGCTATTCCTCTTGCTATACTGTTTATTAGCTGTATTAAGTTTTATAAAATCAGCATGCATAGTGCTGCTCTGAGCTGTACTGCTATATCAACTGCTATTCTTGTTTTGGAGTTTCTTGCTTATATTAGCTGAAAATCTCCAAGTCTAGCTTTCTTTCTTCTTGAATTTCTCTACTTATTATTCATATAAACAGTTATTAATATGAATAGCTTGATTAGAGAATATTGCAAAGTTCTTCAGCTAATTCTGCTTGAAGATTTTATCTTTAATATCGTTCTTAAGTTCCTTGTAATAGTATTCCATAAGATTCTTATCTTTCTATAGGAGTTGCGCTGAGAGTTGCTTGAATCTGATTATATAAGCAGAAGCTGATTTGGTCTGTTTGAGATTCATGAGCTGCTGAGCTGTAGTGCGTTCTTCGTTAGGATTACTAAAGATTTCTTTGAGAGCTTTCTTGAAGCTCTTAAAGGAATCGAATATGTTCTTGATACTCTGAATATATGTGCTAAGGTTATTCTGATGCTTCAAGTAGTTGTATAGAAAAGGCTTATATTAGATAAGAGCATTCTTTTTGAGATAAGTTTCTGCAAGGATAACTTTCTCAGATTCTCTGATAAACTGAGTCTTATAATATAAGAAATATGCTCTGCAGTAGATAAGAAATCCATATAGCGTTTTCTGATTACTATTATATATAGCAAGCTTATTCATCTTATATGCCTTTCTAGCGCTACTGATAGTTGCAGAGATGAACTGCGCTTGTTGAGCTTATTAAGCTAGCTAAGCTTATTAGTTAGCAATAATAGCGCTCTGAGCTTGCTGTTATTCATATAAGTTCTGAATATGCTAAGTAAGCTGATATATCTGATTAATCAGTTCTTTCTGAGTAGAAGCATGCGAGAATAAAGGAGTTTCTAAAGAAGCTATTATATTCCATATTGCTTAAGAAATAATACTGAATTATTCTTGAATAAGAATTATCAAAATATAATGAGTATTGCAGCAATCTGAAGATTTCTAAGTATACAAAGAGGTTTATGCTAACAAGAGCAGTATCAAAGTATTAAGTTTTTGAATACAGAACTATACAAGTTCTAGTAAGCAATACAAGTATTCACTATCTTTGAAGCTACTCAGTATATGAAACTGAATACTTAGATTAACAACTGAAGAGCTATATATGAGATCTATCTAATGGAAATAAATGTGTTCTTATATATTCAGCTCTTCAGTCCTGTTGATAGTATTAGTTGTTGGATTTCTTGGATTATCTGGATAATCCAACTGATCCGGATTATCATGAATCAGCTACTGATCCATCCTAATCCTGTAATTCTAATCCTTGCTTATGTAAGCCTTAGTTCTTGAGATGTTGAATCCTTCCCTGTCTTTCCGGACAGTTGTTCCGGGTGTTCTGGCTGGTGATCTGCATGTTGAATGAGTTATAACAAAAGATCTCTTTGAGAGCTTTTTCAAAGCTTTCAAAGGAATCGAATATGTTCTTAGTATCCTGAATATGTGCATTGGGATTATTCTGATGCTCCAAATGATTGCATAGAAAAGGCTTGTACTAGATAAAAGTATTTTTCTTAAAGCGAGTTTCTGCAAGGATAATCTTCTTAGATTTCTTAGTAAACTGAGTCTTATAATGCAGGAAATACGCTCTGCAGTGGATAAGAAATCCATGCAGCGTTTTTTAGTTGCTATTATATATAGCAAGCTTATTTATCTTGTATGCCTTTTCAGCACTATTAGTAGCTATAGAAATGAATTGCGCTTATTAAGCTTATTAGGCTAGCTAAGCCTGTTAGTTAGCAATGGTAGCGCTTTAAGCCTGCTATTATTCGCACAGATTCTGAATATGCTGAATAAGCTGATATATCTGATTAACTAATTCCTTCTGAGTAGAAGCATGCAAGAATGAAGGGATTCCTGGAGAAGCTATTGTATTCTGTATTGCTTAAGGGAGTAATACTGAATTGTTCTTGAACAAGAATTGTTAAAATGTAATGAGCACTGCAGCAATCCGAAGATTCCTAAGTATATGAAGAGATTTATGCTAATAAGAGCAGTATCAAAATATCAAGTTCTTGAATACGGAACTGTACAAGTCTTAATAAGCGATGCAAGTATTCACTGCCTTTAGAGCTATTCAGTATATGAAACTGAATACTTAGATTGATAACTGAAGAGCTATATACTGAATCTATCTAATGATAATAAACGTATTCTTATATATTCAGCTCTTTAGTATGAATAGATTGGATAGCAACATATTCAAGTTATCCTGCTAGCTCTGAATAGCACATATCCGAAGCTATCCTTCCTGATTGGCCGTGCTCATAACCCTAACCCTGGGTTATGTAACCAATGCTTTGTCAGGATGTTGAGTCCTTGACACCTGATCCCTGTTACTCGTAACCTGTTCTGTAACCTGCATGTTGGATGGGTTATAACACTCAGCTACATTTCAGGCATATATTAATAAAGCGCTAATAAGCTTAATAAATATAATCTGCATCATTTATCTGAATAATATCCTAATTTATAGTAATAATGCTAAGCAGTATACAAGCTATATTCGAGAGATCTTGAAGCAGCTATAGCAATAAGAGCTATATCTCAATCTGAGAAAGTATAAGTTTAATATACAATAGATAGAATTCCTGAGCTTTGTAGTATTCTTAGAAGAAATCAGTATGAACAAGAAGCGTATTGCAGCTATTGCACAGTAGCTGCTCCTGCATATTATCTGCAATATTCAGATATTTCTTGGATTTACTGAATTCTATTATCAATTTATACGAAACTACTTCAAGATTGCTATATCATTAATCAATCTTTTGCAAAGCAGCAGCATAAGCATAATTGCGCTCTCGAACTGCATTTAAGTAGCTTTTAAGACTCTAATTATGCTCTTTATAATAGCTTTATTGCTATGCTACTATAATGCTGCATTACTAATAAGGATTGAAACGAATGCTTCTGCTTTTGCTATAGAAGCTATGCTAGCTCAGCTATTTCAAAGCTGCTAGCATTTAATTGCTTTTCGTTCAAAAAAGCTCTTTCTAACAGAAATATAATATAGCATGAGAGATATTAAGCTATTAGCTATTATAAATACTATATTAAACTAGCAGCATTATTTATTATATCTATCTAAGCTTATACTCATTCTTACAAATCATTTCAACTTGCAATACTAAGAGATTAAACAGAAGCTATCTGCTTGCTAGTTATGCTAGCTAAATAATCTCAGCATGTATAATCTCATCATTCAGTACCATCTCAGCAAATCCAACCCAGCTAATAGGTTGTTCAGATAGCCAGATCACCAGAGAGGAAAGAAAGCTAAGCAGAAGCTGCAAAGCTCCAGCAATTTCGTTACAATAAAGAATCTGGAGAATCAGAGAGAACTTTGTATTGATTATATTCAAAGAATAAGAATGAAACAAGCAGCAGATCTAAATATCTCCTGTTTTCGAGTATATGCTCTTCGCTATTCGAGTAAGAGTGCAGAGTTTGAGCAGACAGCAGACCTGAGTATCTCCTGTTTTCGAGAGTGCGCTCTTTGCTATTCAAGCGAGAATGCAGAGTTGAAGCGGAGTATTTGCTTAGCAACTGATATTGCTTGAATATCGGGTTGCGAACTAATTATCCTTCTGCGCTTAGCAGTAGAGCAAAGCGTAGCAATAGTACTGGAGTAGCTTGCAGAGCTAATAAGAGCGCATCTGCTACAACTGCAACAAGAAAATGTTTTTGTTCAGATGGAAGCTTGGTATAAGAAGCGAATATGCAGCTCTATCCTAAAGTCAAAGTGTCCTCAAGGTAGAGAACAGTTTTTTTGAGTGAGAAATTTTTTGGCGCTAGCAAAAACAGGGGTAAGAGGATCGTTTTTTTCTTCTGTAAACTGTTCTCAACTCAAATTTTAAGCTTTCTGTCTCATTTCAATTTGAAGTCTGATTGCTTTTCTTAAAACTCTATCATTTCTGAATTTCAAGTTCTCATCATCTTTCTTTCTATTTTAATTGCAGGATTTGTATTTCTAGGGTAAAGGATTGAGGTGATCAGACCCGCATTTTTATCCGCATTAAAAACAACCAATTACCTTGCCTTATTTCTAGAGCATATCCTTATCCTAAAGTCAAAGTGTCCTATTCTAAAGTCAAAGTGTTCTCAAGGTAGAGGATAGTTTTTTTGAGTGAGAAATTTTTTAGCGCTAGCAAAAACAGAGGTAAGAGGATTGTTTTTTTCTTCTGTAAACTGTCCTCAACTCAATTTTTAAGCTTTCTATTTCATTTTAATTTGAAGTCTGATCGCTTCCCTTAAAACTCTATTGTAATGAGCACTGCAGCAATCCGAAGATTCCTAAGTACACAAAGGGGTTTATGCTAGCAAGAGCGGTGTCAAAGTGTTAAGTTCTTGAATACGGAACTGTACAAGTCCTAATAAGCGATGCAAGTATTCACTGCCTTTAGAGCTACTCAGTATATGAGACTGAATACTTAGATTGATAACTAAAGAGCTATATACTGAATCCATCTAATAGTAATAATCATATCCTTATATACCTAGCTCTTTAGTATGAATTACTGTTTAGCAGTGCCTTGCGGATCACCGCAGTGATTCGGATAAGCTTAGTAAGCTGTGCTCCTGGTGCTTCTAGTGATCCATTCCTATCTCCTTCCTAGATTATGTAATCAATGCTTTATCAGAACGTTGGATTCTTAACACCTAATCCCTATTACTTGTGATCTGTTTTATAACCTGTATGTTGAATGGGTTATAACATCATCCCTCTTCTATCAGTTGTTATTCTCAATGATCTTCTGTAAGTATTCTAGCAAGTTTTTCCATATGCATAATCTTGCCTTTCTAATTGAGATGTTGAACAGAATTGAGAAATCTTTTTCTAAGAAAACTGAACAGCATAATCGTCTTTTCCTAGCTGTTGATCAGTTTGGTTTTGAGATCATGCCTTGCACCGCCTGCGCTTCCCGGGGCCTGGTATGCAAGATAATGGATAATACAAAGCGTTGTTCTCAGTACATCCATCATGCTTGTTCTTGTAATGGTTGTAGGGTTTCTGTTTCTGCTTATAAGTCTCCTTTTCTCCTTTTCTAACCTCTTTGCTGATATCCCTCTTTCTTTTCCTTAGTTTCGCACATTATAGCGGAGGATAAGAAGCTGGAATCGAAGGAGCGGAAGGCAGAGGCAGAGTTAGAAGGGGCTCATTGTCGAGCGTTAGAGGTTCTTAACGAAGCTTGCACGAAGATCTCGGAATCCGCTGCCCGTCTTGCTCGCCTGCACACCCAGCATAGATCTCTTGCCTCCCAGGATGCTCAAATAGTAAATGCGAGCCTTAAATCCCTTGATAAGCTGGATGAGCGGGAACGTTGTGAGGAGAAGGAATGCAATCTTGCTGCATCGGTTTGTGAGATAGTATTAGCTGAAAGTATTTTAGCTGAGAATTCCTTGTTTAATAGTTTTAACTGAAATTCTGTTAATCCTAGTGGAGCTGTTATGGATTATTCTGGGTTTTTGGGGAGCGAGATTCCTGAGGCTTCTGGATCTCGGTTCGGGGCAGAGCAGTTGTTCTAAGCGCTAGTTTCTTTCTTCTTTCAATACTCAGCTACCTTTTCTTGAGCGTTTTCAACGTTCTCCTGTAATTCCCATGAATTTTCACTTGCTGAGTAATCTTTCCATTTGATAAGGTATTCTCTCGTGTTGCTTATGCTTCTATGCTTGAGAATCTTCTCTACTTCATACTCTGGTTTGTTATTTTCTACTTCTGCTGTATTATTCGCTAGTATTTCCTATGCTGCTGATTCCAGCAGTAAGATATAGAAAACCGGGTATATTCTCATCTCATGAGGTAATGCTAACTTATAGTTAACTAGAGAAATCTGCTGCAAGATTTTGAATAGTTCTAACTTCTTATAATCGAGTTTGTTGCTGAATCTAGTTGTTTTGATGTTTTTTCGAAGTAGGTAGATCTTATCTCCCTTCTATAGGATTAGTTTCTTAATCCTTTTAGAGTTTGTATACTGCGTTATTCGTTCTTGAACGAATTGTAGTTCTAATTGGAGTTTCTTCTGAACTTTCTTGATTTTTTTAATTCTTTTATCTGCAGCTTCTGCATCTGCTTCTAGCAGTATTTTGTAGTAAGCTATTAGGTTATATTCATAGAGTATGAAGAATGATAACTTCTTTATTGTATTCATATCTGCGCTATTATAAGCGAACTATGCAAGAAGCAATAGATTAATTTAGTTATCCTGTTTCTGATTAATATAGTATTAAAAATACTATTCAATAATCTAATTCATTCTTTCCGTTTATTCATCTGTTTGCAAGTAAAATGCTATAAATATTCTGTAATATATTCTAAGCTGTTTTATAAGTAAAGTTTAAAACTTCAAGTTAAACTTTCTATCTTTATCAGAGATTACTTTCTCTAGCATGCTGTAATTAGCAATAATCATTCTAAGGAATGCATATGCAAATTCCTCTGCTATACTGCTTTTCTTATAAGAAAGAAAATAAGCATACTTACTTAATCTGCAAACCACTATTAGAATGCTATTATATTATATCTTAATTAAGAATTCTTATAAGAGAGATAGCTTAATAATAAAGTTTAGACTGATGAATTGCTAAACAATTATAAATATTAGTAAAGAATGCAGTAGTTTGTAAAGCTTGTATCTTTCTGCCTTATTCTTTTTGCAGCTATTGTATTATTATAAAATGCTTTTAATCCTTTTTCTAAGATCTAATAGATTTCAGTATTTTTTAATACATTCATAAATTGCTCTAACTCTCTAATATTCATATGCTGGTATACTGTATATATCTCTGATGTAGCTATCTTGTTCATCTAAAGTTATTAATTCTGAATTCTTTTCCAAGGATTCAATTCTGAAAGTAGTATTTAGTTCTCTGTATACATTAACGAGATTTCCTGACTCGTTTTGAGTAAAGATGTTCTATATATCCGAAGAATCTTCGTTTTGATAGTCTGATCTTCTGCTAAGAGCATCTGCTTATTCGTTTTCTGAGCTTTTGCAGTATATAATCTTAAAATCGAACTGTAAAAGGAATTCTGCTTATCTGATTTGTTGCTTATTTAAGATCTTGATTATTATGAATATAGTTAGATTCTTATAATTCGAATGAATTATAATCGGATGCTATATGCTGATAAGATAGTATTGCTATTTCTTAAAAGCTTTTACTATTGCTATAAGCTTCTGATTAGGAATTCTGTAGTTAATTTCCAAGCTATTCAACTTCTTTGAGAAGTTGCTTACAATCCTTAGATGCTCTTAATCGTTTCATTAATCAAGTTGTTCCCCAAGTGCATATCCTAATGCATCAGTTTCAATTTCAAAGAGTTTGTAGGAGTTTGCTTTATATAGAACTAGCTCTAAGGTAATGTGCTTAATGATCTTATTAAAAGCTTCTTGTACTTTAGAGATTTATTCGAAGGATTGCTTCTTCTTAGTAAGATTTGTAAGAGAATGTACGATCCGATTATAGTTCTTGATGAACTGTTTATAGAAGTTGATATATTCAAGAAAAAATCTAATATCTCTGATATTTCTGGGAATTAGCTAGTTTCTAATAGCTTCTACTTTATTCTTCTATAGCTTGATGCATTCTAGCTCAATTATGAATCCGAAATAGTTAACCTTTTGTATATAAAAGTAGCTCTTTGCAGGTTTTACAAGGAGCTTCGCATTCTGAAGCGTTTGCAATACTGTTTCTACATATTTCTTATATTCTTTCAGTATTCAAGAGAAAATAAGAATATTATCAAGATATGCAATAATGAACTGATTCAGATACTTGTATAGAATATAATTAATCATTTCCTGGAATAAAGCTGGAGTGTTTATTAAGCTGAAGAGCATAATCAAATATTTATAGTATTCGTAGCATATTCTGAAAGCAGTTTTCCATTCTTCTTCTTTCTTTACTCTGATTAGATTATAAGCTTCTTTCAGATTCAGAACTATAAATCACTATACTTCTTACAATCTATCTTATAATTCCTTGATAAGTAGCAATAAGTATTAGTTCTTAATTGTAATATTATTAAATTGCTTGTAATTAATATATAGCTTAAGCTTGCTATTCTTCTTAGATATAAATAGAATAGGATATTCTGCTAATAATTGCAATAATTATATATATTCTTTCTTAAGATTCTTATTAAGATACTTCCTAAGTGCTTCTAGCTGTATCTTGTTCAGTCTGTAGATAGGGAAGAATTTGGGCTGTTTCCCTTTTTATAACAGGATCTCGTGATTGTATGAGCTGTATTCTAGCAATTCTGTATCCAATTCTTTCTGGAATAGTTTCTTGAACTTGTAATATTCTTATAGTATGTTTGCAAGTATTGGTTCTGATTCTTATGCTGTTTCTGCTATCTGGAGAAATAGTAGGTATTATTGAGCATGCTTCTTTTCTAATAGCGTTTTCGAGAGCTTTGAGCGCTCGCTCCGGGCTGGATTGAGCGCTTGAGAGCTTGGTTTCGAGGTTTTTCTCGTATGGATTCATAATTCACATTCTAAAGCTTTTTCTTGTTGCTTCAGAGTGGACTGACTTGCTGAGAATCTCGCTTCTGTTATTCTGCTAATCTGTTAGCGCTCTAGCACTATTTGGGTTCGCTTATTACTAGATTCTTCTTCTTGAACTGCTAGCTCTGCTATCTTGAAAGTATGTATGAAGTTGTATAAAGCTTCTTTTTCTGAATATTCTTCAATCACTAGCTTTGATTCTATGCTATTGATTGTAATTATTTCTCTGGATATAGCTTGTTTCTATAAGATCTGGCTAGTAGTTCAATTGATTCAAGGATTGTACTCTTTGAGCTATGGAAGCTTTATAATCAGCTTATATTATGCTGTATTCATAATATCAAAAGAAGCTCTGATTATATATTCTTGGATTAAGATAGATAGATAATTAGTTTTCTTATTGATTACTTCTTAGTTATATACAACAGATTATTCTTCTATAATGCTGAGGATATATGAGCATTTCTTTCATTTTTATTATAGTTATGCTTAATTAATAATGTATGAGAATATAAAGTTTCTCTAAGCGCTACTATTCAATAATATGCTATACTTATATCCTTGAATATATATATTAAACTTGATATAAGCATAATCTATTCTAAAAGCTTTACATAGGAACTGTTCTGATCTGATTATCTGCAGTTCCTTTACAAGCAATCCTGTTCTTTTGAATTCATTGAAAACTATTTATTCTTCTGAGCCTGCTTTGCTGCTTCTTAAGCAAGCTTCTTAGCTTGCTTTTGCTTATATTATTATTATTTCTAATCTTTCTTCTGTTAATGCTAGTTGCAAATCTTATTATTAATATGAATTGTATAGAATATTGTTTTGTACTGCTATCATTCTATTTTCTTGTTTATACATTATATAAAGCAATTGTTTGGTAGCTTGATATATGCATTGTAATGCTGCTTGTTGAGAATCTTTCTGAAGCAGAATTCCTGTTCTTCAATAGTCTGAAGAATTTATTCTAATTCTCTAATGAGAAATTATTTGTATTGCATCTTGTTTGAGAAATGCGTTCTGCAGCTATAATAGGTGCAGGAGATCCAAGCTAGTTCGTAGTGCAGGTTGTAAAGTGAATCAATCCGAGGATTTTCGTTTTATTATATCTCGATATCTTGTAAAGGAATGCTAATGAAGAGCTCTTCTAATCCTATTCTATAAATGAGATATTTAATTCATATTATTTCCTTGTTCCATTCAATGCTAAAGAGAAATCTTTCTGTAAGCTTCTTGAGTTTATTGTTCATAAGAGACTCTGGTGAAGCATGGAATCGCTTGTTTTAGCTTGATCTTTTTGTTGCTTTAGAAGCATTTTCAGTATTATTTAAGTATTCATACTAATAACTAAGAAAGTATTATCTCTTATTCATATCTCTAATCATAATGCTTAGTATAAATGATAAAGAATGTTAAAGAGTATTATTGCTAAGTTCTTCTTCCAATGCTTGAATGCTCTGTTCTGCAATATTAGAGCAGTTCGAGCTGCTACTTGTAGAAGTGCTAAGCATATACTCTTATTCTGCTATTGCTATTTGTCTGCAGCGCTTAGATTTCTAAAGGAACTATTCTGAACCTTCCTTACTCGAGAAGTATATTAAGCAGTTATTATTATAGCAGAATATTCAGCTAAGATTTTCATAATTAACAGAGTTCAATACTTGCTTCAAGAAAGTATTTTTGCTCAGTTGATTAAGTTTCTGTTATTAAGCAATATTCATCTAGCATTCTTTCTAAATTAGTTGCTATTTGTTTTTCTGAGATTGATAATAGTTGTATACAATATATTCTTGTTTATTATAATTATAGCAA